GCCTCTCCCCCCTCCTTTCCTATCTTTTGTATTCAAATCACTTTCTCCATTTCATGTACTGCTCTGTGCATGCCCATTCACAGGATCTAGTGAAGTGAATTCCAGCTCATTAAAGCTTACACTAAACATATCTTTAATCTGGTTTAAGGTGCAAATCTATCCTGGCTTCTGCTTAACTTCAGACTAACAGAGCTAGCTAGCTACATCTCATATCCTTGCCAGACTAGGCCAACATGTGGAGAACAACAGAAGAAGAGGGAATAGATGTGCTGTACTTAAGCTAACTGCCATAATATAAAAAGCTCCTGTGCTAACTAGAAAAGATATCAGAACCACGGCAACAATGAAATTACATGTGATGAAAACCAACAATGAAATCCATACTGAGACATTTATTAGCCTAGATTTGCACGGGTGGATCTGGAGCAGTGAAATACCCTTTGACACTAAACTCATCCATGGGAAATGCATAAACTTTGATCCTCTAATCAATGACATCAATTTTCCTCCAGAGACAGCCCCCATATTATTAATAGAAATAATTACGAGGTTCTCCAAAGAAAATGATGTAGTCTTCTAACAAAAATGAACAAAAACTCTTTTCCCAATTGTTCCAAGCTATTAGGTAACAGGAGAAAAATATCTTAAACATCTCTGAAATCAAGCAGGGGTAATGGCTGTCATGTTTTTTCCTGATCTTTCGGTCAGAAGCTGCAATCAATTTCAGGGCATGTATGTGTGTGTGTTTGCACCTATGCATATAATTGTTGAGTTTTTATAAGTATGGGGACATATGTGTGAAGTGAGCAGCAATGACTGAAAAAAAACAGACTTAGGAGAGGATCTAGGACCTGCTTATTCAGCCAGAATGTGAGGCGATGCATTCAGAGTAATAAGGCCAGGCCACTAACTCGCATTTGGCTCCTAGGAATCCCTGCAATGAACAGCTTTAGTGCTGCTATATCTGACCCTTGCATAATTCTCCTGTAGAAAGAAATCACTGAATGGCAGAGAGTTTCCAAACCAGCTGCTGTTCTCCAGTTCCTTCCAATCCCCTGCCAAGGGCTACAACTCAGGGATAGGAAGCATCCATCCACACCAGTAATCTAGGGCATACACAAGCAATTTAAAAAACAGGTTAAATTCTGAGAAGTGCTGATAACATTAAGGTCAAGTGCAAAGCCTGCTGGCACTGACCTTTTCTACCATTCATTTTAGACTAAACATCCCTGGATGAGCATGTGTTTGCTATAATTATAAAGTATATAATGCTTGCCCAGAACATGGCCTAATGACTGATATGTACAGAGGCAAAAGGCAATTGCTGGGAAGGGCTGAAAAGAACTGTGGGATTAGGCCTTAAATTTACTACAGTGTGAGCTATATTCTAGGTGTGGCTTCCTACTGTAGCTGTTTGAATTGAAACGGTATCGAGACTCATTCAGCTCAGAATATCTGTAAGAAGAAAGATCTACAGTTATATAAGGTGAATGCTATCATCTCACCATGGTAACAGTTCAAATATTTCAAAGGAAGTATACTGTTTAAACTCTATATTATGAAAATGTTTTACTTTTTAAATGTAATGTAGAAGGGCCATGTAATTAAATCCATTATACATCTCATGTCTTTTTATAGCCCAGTAGTTTACCCTTGAGTCTCCTTGAAGATGAGCCATTCATTCAGAGAGATGCAGCACCCCTTCTTGGTCATTATGGGCCAACCGCTTCTTATCCACTTGCAAGGTTCACTGAGTGCATCTTTTTAGAGCACTGAGCGTCTTTAATTCACTCCATTTCCTGCATTTCTTGATTTTCAGCTCCGCTTGCAACGCTACTGCTGAGGACACACAGACTACTGAGGCAGGTTGTCACCAATGCACGCACAGACAGGATCATGAATACCCTCAGGGACTGCAAGCATTGGCTGTGTGAGATAGTGAGAGAGATCTATCTGGCTACAGGCAGATTCATGGCTGTCCAGCATGACAGGAATTGC